CTGAAAACGTAGAACAAGCTAAAATTAGCAAATGAAAGCAGAAAAAAACATTGACCCATTTAAGCTGAAAGAAGCAGAAATGAGCACAAAAAAGTGAAAATTATCCAAAAAAAGCTGAAATTAGCAACAACAACAAAAAAAAAAAACAGCTGAAAAGTAGCTAAAATAGCAGAAAGAAGCTTAAATTACCAGAAGGAAGTGGAGAGAGCACATTTTTGCTGAATTAGGTTGATAAAAGTTGAAAAAAATTAGTACAAAAAAATGTGGAATAAGATGACTAAGCTGAAATTAGCACGAAAAAGCTAAATAGTTGCTGAAATTAGGGGGAGTGGTGGCGCAGAGGTTAGAAAATGGGCTTGTGATCGGAAAGTCGCAGGTTCACCTCCCGGTACCGTCAACATCAAAATGTGGGTGGAAAAGGTGAAACACCCACACCTGCCTCCACCCTCATCCACCCACTCTGGGCCCCTGAGCAAGGCCCTTAAACCCCACCATCTGCTCCCTAAACTGGTCTCTCCTGAAAATGAGTTCTCGTGGCTCAATGAGACTATCTGGGTAAATAAAGGCTAAATTAAAAAAATAGCAGAAAAAGTTGAAACGCATAAATAAGCTTACAGGAGCACAAGCTGAAACTAGCAGAAAGAAGTTAGAAGAGGTACAAAAATGTTGTAGTTAGCAGAAAGAATTAAAAAAAAGGCTGAAATTAGCTGAAAGCAGCTTTTTTTATTGCACAATGAAACTGAAAGAAGCTGAAGCAGAACAAAATGTGAAAGGAGCAGTAAAAGGTTGTAAACAGATTTGAAGGATGTAAAATGAGCTCAATTCATTTTATAGGAGGAAAAAAATGGCAGAAAAGGCTAAATATTTCAAAAAGCTAAAGTTGCACCAAAACCAAAAGTCACAGCAGGATTGTCCTGAAAGAGCCGAACGTTTTAATTTATGATTAGTTGAAACAGATGAAAACTGCGGGACGAGAATCGCACTGAAAAACGTACGGAAGAAAAATGGATCACAACAGTGTGAAGGCTTCTTGAACATTCACACCGTTACAACCCAAAACTGAAGAATTCATTTCGGAGTCTCAATCTGAAGCACGGGTCTCAAATATTTATATTTAGAACAGAGAGGACAAACAAGGGTAGGAACTAGAGAAAACCCGATTTAAATTAAAAAAGTATGTGTCAAATTCTTGTTGAAAAATGTGTCCAGATATCATTAAAAGCCACAAGAATAATATAAACTCCTGTCCGTGATGAATGGATGAAACCTCCGACTGCATCTCTAGTTTCCTTTAAGAAATATAATTTTTGCCTCCTTACATTTAAAGGAAATGTGACGACGGGATTACTACAGGTCGTTTCAGACTCAGTGCCTGTCCCTGGACCACAGACTTGCACCTGATTAATCAGCTGAGTGATTGATAGCAACATTATGATAACTGACAGGTCCCGTGGTGCAAATCATCCTCATGAAACAGAACATCACACACAGCCTGCTGCCTTGGGTTTTTATCGTTTTAAAGAGAAATGCTGCACTTGTTGACTCTTGGAGCAGAACTATGAATGAACAAACATGAGAGCAAGCTCTCACAGCGGAGTGAAGCCAAACTAGAAACAACGTGTAATAGTCGTGTTCCTGGCTTTACAGCTTCTCACAAACAAACCAGACGCTGAGCCAGTTTAGTATGTTAATTCATTTATGAGCCGAGACCATGCTGTCAGCATCGTTTTAGTGCATGTGATCAAATTAAGCAACGTCACATGGTCCACTCCAACTGAATGCTTGACCCTGATGTGCACGAGACACAAGAACAGCAGGTCCTTTGATGCTTTCAGCCGCTGCGCCAGAAAAAGCAGATCATTGCTCTTTTGTCTCTACAGGGGGAAGCCACAGCCCAGAATCCAATTTCTGTTCCTCCCACACGGTCTGATCAGAACGAGATGAGCGATCTGTCTCCATCGGATGATCCAGATGCTCCAGCCCGTCTGGGAAATGAGATACTGTACTAAAGCACCTTCATCGGCGAGGTATGAAACCAGGAGGGAACGGCAGCTGCACCGTCGCCGCCACAAACCGTAAGAGGCGACGGATAAAAAGGGACGCCTGAGGAGGCAAAAGGTACCCAGAGGGCTGGACCAGACTCCGAATCCACCACAGCTGGGCTTCTGATCGCTCGTTCAGGTACAGAGGCAGCACGAACGACAAAACCAGGTGGTGAGGCTCCAGCATGTGAGCAACACAGCTGGATTCTGTGCAACATCGGAGATGGTAAATTATTTAAAATGTGCAACTGATTGTGGTTCGACTGTGGCAGAATCGAACGTTAACGCAGAGGTCTTCAAGAAATAATCGGGAATGTTCACATACATTTTTCTCCACATATACCAGTATATATAAATTATCTTTTAGTGACAGCCAAGCTGGTTTTTCAAGGTTCAAGGTTCTTTATTGTCATTCTCATCACACGTGGTACATGAGGTGGAACAAAACTGTGCACTCAAGGTCCCAGTTACACACAAAAAATGGCAAAAATACACTGCCTGGCCAAAAAGTCACCACCAAAAAAAATAGTTGCCACCCAAATAAAAGAAAGGTCACACTAATACTCTGTTGGACCTCCTTTAGCTTTGATCACATCATGCATTCACTGTGTCATTGTTTCCATAATCTTCTGCGATGTCACAAGATCTATTTCATCCAGTGTTGCGTTAATTTTTCACCAAGATCTTGCATTGATGACTAGACACTAGACATGATGGGTGCATCACTTCACCTGCCTCTCTTCTTACCCTGATGCACCATCACTCTGGAACAGAGTAAATCTGGACTCATCAGACCACATGACCTTCTTCCATTGCTCCAGAGTCCGATCTTTATGCTCCCTAGCAAATTGAAGCCTTTTTTTCCAGTTAGCCTCACTGATTAGTGGTTTTCTTAAGGCTACAACTGTTCAGTCCCAATCCCATGAGTTCCCTTCACATCGTGCGTGTGGAAATGTTCTTACTTTCACTATTAAACACATCCCTGAGTGCTACTGTTGTTTTTCTTCCATTTGATTTCACCAAACGTTTAAGTGATCGCCGATTACGATCATTCAGGATTTTTTTCCAGCCACATTTCTTCCTGGAAGACGATGGATCCCCACTGTCCTTCCAGTTTTTAATAATGCGTTGGACAGTTCTTAACCCAGTTTTAGTAGTTTCTTCAATCTCCTTAGAAGTTTTCTCTGCTTGATGCCAATGATTTGACCCTTCTCAAACAGACGGACATGTTTTCCACGACGTGTCTTTCAACATGGTTGTTTAAGAAATGAGAAGCAACTCATTGCACCAGTTGGGGTTAAATAACTTGTTGCAGCTGAAAGATAATGGTCACTGCAGTAATTATCCAACAGGAGGCTCGTACCTGTTTACATAGTTAAATCCAGGTGGAGACTTTTTTTTTTGGGCCAGGCAGTGTATAAAGTGTATAATAAACAGTATAAAAGGATCTAAGATATAAATTTCTTCACCCACTATGATATATTTTCAGTTACGTACCTATATTTTGCAAAAGAATTACCACATATGGCCCGCGATGATTACCGTAAATGCTAAAAAGCAGCACGTTGTCAAATGAAGTGTTTCCCCTACCATTATACAAGCAGGGTACCCCACCCTGTCAACAGAATTGAGCACCCTGCCTACCAAAACACCCTTATCCCCTCAACCCCCGACAACTGCCAGCACTGACGTAGCGCTAAGCTAGCGGCGCGCTAGCTAAAAAGCTAGAGGCAATGCTCTGCTTCTTTCAAACGTGGCTCTGTTCCCCCCCCGTCGACAAAAATCACGTTAGAGATGAGTGCCCTGCCATGGCAAGTAATCTAGAGGAAACATTGAAATGAATTACCGTAAATGGTATGTAGAGCACAATCTGAAATAAATGACTGTAAACTAAAGAAAAGTAGCAACATTTAAGTCTGATTACAAAAAAAAAAAAAAATTTAAAAATCACCTTCTGATCATCTCAGATCGACTATATAAACCAGTAGTTCCCAACTGTAGTCCTAGAGGAACACCATCCTGCTTATTTTAGTCGTTTTCCTGCTCCAACACACCTGACTCAGTGATTTAATTACTTCCTTAAGTTCTGAAACCTGTTATCAACCCATCAGGTGAGCCAAAGCAGGGAAACAACTAAAACATGCAGGATGGTGTTCCTCAAGGATCACGGTTGGGAACCATTGATCTAAACGACCCGGCGTGTAGAAGGACGGCTTTATAAAACACTACGTTGCAGATTTTCTCTGAACGTACAAAAAAAAGCTGAGCTCCTTGAAACAAAGGTGTGCGCTCACTGATAACACACACAAAGCAGACAAATTATTTGTAATTTTGCCTCATGAGCATATTTTAAAACACAACTTACCTTGGCCTTGACGAGCCTCTTGGCGGTCTTAATCTTGGCTTCACAGAAAGCCCCTCTGTACTTGGCACTCACATCTGTCCCTACGGTCAGGTAGGGGGGTTCCTCCAGAGTCTGTGGGAAATAAAACAAACTGTGATTTTTGAAGTGTTTTGAATGAGACCAGAGGAGACGCATGAACTAAAAGTATCACACGGTCCAGCAACGTAAACCCCACGAGCTCCGTGATTCATCCATGGAAAACACACACCATCTGCTCTGGGTTTTGGAAAACAAGCCGCTGAGGAAGCAAACAAAGAGGCGACTTCACCAAAGCTTTGATTATTACTAGAAGACGCTTTTGGACATATGAAGCGTCACCTTGTGTCATCTATAAATGAATAAGATCAAACAGGACACACTTCCTACAGCTTCTGACGGCAAGTTGTACCTCGAGACAGAACTAAAAAAAAAGAAATGCCTTCTTGAATTTATTAGAGTGCAAACGTAGAGTACCGGCCAAGAAAACATACTGCCTTCACTGACTGAATGAACGAAGGAATAAATGAAGCACACCAGTTCCCAGTGGAATTTAAAAAGTAACATTAAAATAAAACTTGTAAATATTAACAAGTAATGGAACTGGCTATCCTGAAAATCCCAACAACAAATTTGTGGTTTTATTTTTGTCACTAATCGCTCTGAAGTGTCACGGCTAACGAGCTGCACTGAGCAAATGTTAAGGCAGGTAAGACTTTGTAAGACTTTGCCAAGTACAAAAACATAAGATTTTAGTACATAAACAAGGTTTTGGATGTGCCAAGTCTGCTTATATTTGGAACATACTGTGATTTAACTGCACTGAGATGATTGTAACGCATGTTAGGATTGTTTTCTTCTTTCGGCTGCTCCCTTCTTTAGGGGTCGCCACAGCGAGCAAACTCTTATAAAGACATGTCAATTTATTTTACGCCAGATGCCGATCCTGACGGAACCACTGATCACCGAGCTACCACAGCCCAGATGTGTGGAGCAGAGAGCTGCCATCTATGGTGTAAATGGTGGGGTTACTCAAGGACCCACAGTGCAGCAAATGAGAACAGAGGCAGGTGTGGGTGCTTCACCTTTTTCAATGATCAAATTTTGATGTTATGATCAGGGGGATTTGAACCAGTGACCTTTCGACCACATCTGCACCACCACTCCACCTCTTTTTTTAAAAAAAAGAACAATTTCTGTTGTTCTGTTGGAGTCAGCCTCCCCACCATCACAGACATCTACACCTCCAGATGCAGGAAGAGAGCCACCGGCATCATGAAGGACCCCACTCACCCAGCACACACACTTTTTGCTCCACTCCCCTCAGGTAGAAGGTTGATGAGCATTAAGTGCAGAACCACCAGGCTGAGGAACAGCTTCTACCCTGAGGCTGTTAGACTCATGAATCTCTAACCAGGAAAATCACTGTAATGCCACTTGGTTGATATGTGCTGCTGACTCTCCATGATGCTGATCTCATGCTGCTGATTATTTGATGCTGCCATGTTCATTAATCCTCATCTGCTCACACAGACTCATGTTCGTGCTGCTGTTGTTTTGGCACATTGTTTTTGTACCATTAGTGCTTAGTGTATTCTTAGTTTAGTGAATGTAGTAGACTCTTAGTTCATGACTCGGATCTTACCAATGTTTTTCGTTACAACTTGTGTTTTTGTTGGATGGAACTGGGACCCTGTGTACATAGTTTCGTCCCACCTCATGTACCACGTGTGGTATGACAAACAAATCTCTTTGACTCTGACTAATATGAAACATAAACAAAGGTCTGTGGCCTGCCAACCACATCTGTCCCATAAGTAGTCTTCGTTGCTGTGTTTGGATCTGGTTGGCATGCCACAGACCGATGAAACGTTTCTCCCTTAAAGAAACTGACCCAGATGACATAATTTAACCTTTTTTTGTTATCTACCTGGATGACTGAGCCTACAAACCTTTAATATGAAACATAAATTATGTTCTGTTGTATGGGGGGCATGAACACTTCTTTCTTTAAAGATGTCCGTGTTCGTTGTGAACATGGTAATTTGAAAAATAAGTGAGGTGCCGATTTCCATTTTGGTGTGGCTGCATTAAGGTGAGCGAAAGGTTCCTTTAGGAAATCGGGTTGCCACATCGAAATCCAAGATGGCCACCACCATATATGTAAACATTGTGAGCTGGATAACTTTAAACATAAGCAAAGTGCCAATTTTTATTTAAGTGTGTAGCTGCATTTAAGCGCGGGAAAACGTGCCCTGGGGTGGCCAAAGATTAATATGTGGTGACCAAGGCCACCAATGGGCACCCCCTGGGTCCGCCATTGCGCCTGGTCGTGGATGCAATTGGTTCCTCCACTCGCCAGGATCCATCACTCTGAGCTGCCTCATGGAAAACAACAAAACAAGCCTCCGTTCTTCTACACAGTGCAACTCCAACCCACTTGAATATCTTACACAAAAAAAAACCATTAAGGTACATGCATTCCCTGTTCAATTCTAGAAAAACACTCTTCTTGAAAACTACAAAAAAACGTTCACTGTTCAAATCTCTCAGCGACAAAGACATCGGTAAAGTTTCCGTCAGCCACACCATCAGACAGGCGAACAAACTTGATCTGTAATGTGTAAAGTAATGTGCTCTAAAAAACCGTAATCACTCTCCGTGTCTAAAAATGTCGAGGGTGTTCAGTTGACTTGAAAAGGAGAATGATTTAAAAAAAACTACATTCATACAAGAGATAAACAGCAAACAGCTTAATTTAGTCATTCAGATGTTACTTTATTTTTCTATTAACGCCTCCTCATTAGGAGCAGCCTGTTAACAGCCTCAGTGTTATTCTGAGTGATCATTGCATTAAATTAATAGTCTGGAATAAAAAATGTATCATAGAGCCACAGGTGTCTCCTGAGGACGTGATACAATGCATGTGAAAATATTGTTTGATTCAGTCGTCAACGACTTCTTAAATTTTAAAATCTTTGCTTATTGTGTCAAATATTACCATCTGATGAACACTAAACACTAAAAAATGCAATTAATCAAGATTATTTAACTACAAGATTGTAATGAACCTGATAAGCCATAATAAGTAAAAAAACAGATTTTGTGCCGGTATGAGCTGGACAGGCGTCACTCAGAAGGTGCCAGGCAGTGTCAACAACAAGGTCCAGCTAAAATTAACCTTATTGAAACTATACAAAATAAACGGCTGTTTTTATAGCTGAAGCTGACGTATTTATTCAAAGCTGCTAAAGATCAGCGACAATTATTAAGGACAATAATTTCAACTTTTTGTGCTTCTTTCAGCCTCTTTCTGCTAATTTCAACTTTTTATTTACTTATTTTAGCTTTTCAGCTACTTTTTTGTTGGTAATTCCAGCTTTTTCTGTTCATTTCAGCTTCTTTTTTTTGCAATCTATTCAGACTCTGCCTATTCCAGCCTTTTCTACACATTTCTGCTTGTATTTTCCTGATTTCACCAAACGTCGGCTGTTCAAATTCAGCACATTCACAGTTTAGCGATGAAACCTTTTCGGCTGGTTCTTCAGCAGCTTTTAGCAAAAATCATTCAGCATTAAGTATTTCCACCGGAAACGCAATTCCTCAAGTTCTTAGTATTTTATTATGAGTGATAAGTTTAGCCAAGGCAGTTCAACTCAGAAGTAACTAATTATATCTCAGTAAATGGTGATGGAATATAGTCCATCTGTTCATTTTACAACATCTGACTGTCCCTTCGGCGTTCCTCCGCCAAAATGTCTCCTAATGAACCTCTGCGTTTACAGCCCTACCCCTCCAAAATCAAACAGAATTTCCTCCCTGGGCTGTCTCGTAACAGCGAGCCATTTTTCTCCAACAATACGTATTAGTGTCGAGTGTACAGAGGCAGCAAATCAAAGCAGCAGAATAACTTTTCTAGATAACCGAGTGTATCGAACAGGCAGCTCCTGAGGGCGTTATTACACGACTTTCACAGTTATCGGTTCAAAAACACTTGATCTTTTAATTCACTTTGAGGACACCGCTGGTTTGTTGTCATAAAACACAGACACACTCCAAACACTTCACGTCTTTTCAGAGTTTTGGTTTTCTCAAAAATGTCATCTTGAAACGCCACACGCTCCATTTTTTCTTTAAAGAAACACCGTCGCATTCATTGAAAGTCGTGAAAGCGCCTTCAGAGACACAAAGTAATTTTCAGCATCTAAAGCCACACAAAGTACAACATATCAGCAGTTTAATTAAAATCTATATTGTAAATGTGACAACTTTACCTACAACATTAACACGTTAGGTATTAATCTGATTATTAGGACATTACTGATACATATTTGATCACTTTCCAGTCTCTCATGAACGTAATAGTGAGATTTCACCGTCGATCAGGTGCACATTTATACGTCAGCGCTTTTGACATTTTCTCCCTTAAAATATATTTTTTTAAAAGGTGCATTTTTCTAAATTACGGTAAATTATACTTTCTGTCTGACGTCTCCTTAGCTGAGCGAGATCAACTGCACGAGAGTTCTCACACTTCACAAAACATCTTTTTTTTTATCGTTTGGTGGCAACAGAATGGCTTGGGCAAAAACATTTAGACAGTTTTGAATAACGTATTTAAGAAAACTGACAACTTGCAATGCAATACTTCCTTTCACTTATTTATTTATTACCAGTAACCTTTATTTAACCATGCAAATCCCGTTGTGGACACAATGCCCGGGGAAAACCCACACAAACATGAGGAGAACACGCAAACTCCACACAGAAAGACACTAGGTCCAAACCGGGACCTACTTGCTGTGAGGCAACAGCACTAAGATGTCATGCTGCAACAACTTTAATTCAATTTAAAAATACTTTATTAATCCCAGAGGGAAATTAAGGGTTGCCGTAGCTCATCATCCTGGTTTCATTCGAGAGTTGTTATAGATGCTGATAGCTGTGGGTACGAAGAATCTCCAGCAGCGAATCCGAAAAATCTGGCCACAGATAGTGATCCGTCCACCCAGATCCAGCTTGCTGTCAGATCCAGCAGGACTCTCA